GCGCATTTCGTACGGCTTCCCGGAAATCCCATATTAAACTCCGACCTTGTGTCACGTCCTGACGCAACGCAGGCGCACGGATAAATATCCAGACATTGGCGAACAAAATTCCGTCGACAATGAGAACATTTTTAGTAGATGTAATTTAAATACTAATGTATACTAATGTATTTTTGTACTTATTTCTGTTAATATTAAACAAAAAAAAAGTTTAACAGTGAGAATGAAGGCATCGATCGATATCAAAAGGTACAGTATTTGAAAGATGCTTTCAGTGGGGCGAGGTAAATTGGTATTGATATATTATTTGTTATTATTTGCTGACTGTAGTGTGGTTGATATTATTTCTTGACTGTAATGTGGTTGATATTATTTCTTGACTGTAATGTGGTTGATATTATTTGAGTGTTGTAAAAGTAATTATTCCGTTGCTATATGTATTTGGAGTGTAGAAGGGATCCTTTTTTCTTTTTTTTCTTATTGAAAACGAAATTAATTAAAATGTACATAAATAATAGAAACAGCAAAAACTTGAGATACGTGTGGACATAAATAACAAGAATTTGTATTTTCTTTTGTGATGTGAATTACAGAATGTTGGTATGTGTGTAAAAATGTTCCCAGTGTGTTTTTTGTTCAAAAATCGGTGCTTAATGGGTTTGGTTCCGAGAATTTTGTTTGTGAAGATGGTGTTTGAAATTGTCTGTTTTTGATCTTCACAGAGTGCTGGCAAAGATGTGAGTTTCTGTACTACTACTATTTGTCTACTAGTTTACTACTATGGGTTCCCTAGTCTACAGTAATCTACCCATTCTTTTGTGGTGGGATGGTTGTTTTATAATGATGAGGGTAGGATGATGAAATATCCTTCTTTTCTATCGTCACTGATTACAAGGCTATTTTTAGAATGATGAATATCCTTAATTTTTTATCATCACTGATGGCAAGGTTATTTTTAGAATGATTCTAAACCATAACATATTAAACTAAATTACCATCTAATAGAGCAACGAAATTCACTACTTTTTTCATTTTACATTAGTGTTAATTAGATTTTTATATTAGTCATTCTTATATTTTTATCCAATTTTTTGCTTGACTAAAACGACCGCTCAAATACATTCCTGTTTTTTTTTTTTTTTGTTATATCTTAGAGACCGACAACAAATTGTTTTATGGGATTCACGTCCCGAGGATCAGGGCCGGTGCGTACTATCCCCAACCTTCAAGCCTGATTAGATGACCCCGGGCAGTGATTCGTGACCCCCGTTATCTGAATACTACATTATGAAAATTGAGATGTAGTAGAGTGGCAGTCCCGTATCATAGATTCGAGGTGGCCTATCATAGATTCGGGATTGCACAAGACCTTTGCCCCAGCCCTGCCGAGGGTGAGCGGACCAATCCCGTATTTTCTCTATTTGCTGAGCTTTGATGTATGTGCCGGGCGTTGTCTTGTTAAATGGCACTCAAAACATTTGAGTTTTGACTTTTAAAACAGTTTAATGGCCCAGTTCCATATTTGGAGAAACACTCCCAAACAATCACCGAATTTAAAACCTGCGGAGGGTCGTTTGGGGACCTTGTGGCCCGTAATGCACCAGGTCTCTGTAATCGGCCCTTCAAAAAAATGTGGATGGTCCTGCACGAAACCTTCACCACTATCATCAAATCTCATGTGCTATACATGCGGGTTGGGGACCGCTTGTGAATTACAAATTCCCATGAAACTGCAATATTGGTGCCGGCTCAACCCACCCCGGGTGGATGCCTTTACGGGTACAGGTACAGGTTATCACCGAATTGTGGGTTTGCAAAATTTGAATTTGTATTATTCATTAGCTTTCGTTTTCATATAGATTTTACTATCCGAGCTGACTCTGGTGTTACTTCGTTTGAAAGAAAATTACCCTGCAATAATCCCCAGCCTTGAAATTTTGATACCCGCGCACAAAGTCCAACCGAACCGAGATTTTTGACTGAAGGGCTTTTGTAGTTGTCACTGTTACTGATGATCTGAATTGCTAGCGATTGAACAGTTTTTAGATAACAAGAACATCAACAACCGTTTTCTTCCTCACACCCACTGATAAAAAATAGATTATCTTCTATTATTTTATTTGTTGTCTTCCGAGGGTGGCTGGCTCATTTACGATCTGCTATATTTCCTATTCATTTATATGTTGCAATTATGTTATCAGTGGCGGATTTGAACAAATGCAGTTTCAGTTATGACACATAAAACAACATCATTCAGTAATCCTCTACTTTTGGTGCATCAGCATGGCTGACGCTAACCTCTAGGAGAGTGACAATGCAACATTTCGGTCTAACGTTTTCCACTGACATGAAGTAGAAAGATTATATTGAATCAATTGTTAGGTCTGGTCCTATTTTAGTTGGTTCACTGAGTCGTACTAGACATTTTTTCTCATCAGAATCTATCTTACACATTAATGTCCATGCTTTGAATATTGCTGTCATATCTGGCCTGGTACTTCTGCTATGTATTTAGAGATTCTTGATAAATCCCAAAGAACAATCTGCAATGCTATCGTTCCGAACCTGGCATCTCGATTTCAATCACTTTCCCACCGCCGTAATGTAACTTCCCTGTACCTTTTCTGTAAATAATTTTCACCGTAATTCTTCTGATGAACTTTCATCTATGGTACCTAGACTTTACGAATTTAAGTGCAGTACTAGATTGGCAGCAAGGTCCCATCATCTTACTGTTAAAATGACTAGATGAAACCGTATGTTCTGTACTTAAAGTTTCTTTTCTTGTATTTTTGTTTGTGGAACTCTCTTCCGGCTTCTGACTTCTGGCTTTCCAGTTAACTTTAAGTTTAAATACAATGTCAATCGTTATTATCTTCTGTCTTCTTTATTCATATTCTATTATTGTTCTCTCTCATTAATAATTTTTTTTCTCATATTCTTTCACGCTCAGTAACCCCCTTGCGTTTAGCGGCTTTATTGTCTTGCTTGGGGTGAAATGATTTAAAAAAAAAATACAAAATGGTCTTGTCGACAACCGAACGTTTTTCACTGTTTTTAATTAGTATCTCTCAAATGTACAACAGTAAAACAAAATTATTTGACAAATCCCAAACTCTTCATAGAATCATTTTTACTTGCTGGAGTATTTGTCAAAGACTGGATTTCTAGTCCGTATCACCCAAGATTTCTCCTTGCTGATGTATCTGAATAAATACCATTAGATAAATTAAATGTGAATAAATACCATTAGATAAATTAAATGTGAATAAATACCGTTGGTGTTAGAGAAGAACCTTTTAAGTTCTCAGGTGTAAAACAAATCTTGATTTTTAACTCTGTGTGTGTGTGTGTGTGTGTGTGTGTGTGTGTGTATTTTTTTGTGCTCTGAAACAAAGGAATAGAAATGACATACTAATCTAATTTGGACAGCCGGGCTCAATTCGCTGGTGTTTGCATATTATTATCAGAAGCAAAGTTCGAGTTTTATCCACTTCAGTATCTGTCTATATTTCTGAGATGAGGTATTATGTACACTATTTACATTATTCGGACTATTGTCCTCATCTTTGTTGTCATATTTATCACAAAGTTTTGGCCTTTCAGTATCTGTCTATATTTCTAAGATGAGGTATTATGTACACTATTTACATTATTCGGACTATTGTCCTCATCTTTGCTGCCATATTTATCACAACCTTTCGACCGTTGTACGCTCCGGCCTTCTTCAGGGGGTTGGAATGTCGAACTGAACCTTTTATTTCGCTCACTGGGGTAAACTGTTCTAGTTCCATGTTTAATGGATGTCAGTTATCAGTTATCCTCTGTTAATTTCCCTCTGAAAGTTCTCCACTGCCATAAGCGGGTATTGAACTCACACTCTTTGGGTCCTGTCACTGGATCTAACTAACGTCTTTATCCACTGTGCCATGTGTCCATGAGGACACCCCAGTGAGCGAAATAAAGGGTTCAGTTCGACATTCAAAACACCTGAAGAAGGCCGGAGCGTACAACAGCCGAAACGTTGCAATAAATATGGCGACAAAGATGGGGGACAATAGTCCGAATAATGTAAATAGTGTTTTATTCACTTTTTGTGATTTTTGGGGAATCGTTTTCTTGTTTATACATTATTCATTGAAGCTTATTACATTTGTTGAGCACCTAAAATCATTAAAAACATACAAGTCCGATCATTAGGTAACTGTCCTGTGACGATATAAACTTTTTAACTATGACCGGGCAATGGCTAACCCAATGATAAGGCGATGATGAGAACAGACTGAACTAGTCAACTATTTCAGTAGATGCTTATCGAGGGAGATAGCAATGGTTTTCTGCACTGTAGTATTTAAATTTTAATCATACAAAGCTGGGGATTATTGCTGGGTAATTTTCATTCAAATACACCAGAGTCAGCTCGGATGGTAAAATCTATGTGAAGACGAAAGCTAATGAATAATACAACTCCAAATTTTGCAAACCCACAATTCGGTGGGTTTTTTGGGGTTTTTTTTTTTTTTTTTTTTTTTTTTTTTTTTGGTTTAGGGGATTTGGGTCTCCAAATATGGAACTGGGCCATTAAACCGTTTTATAAGTCAAAACTCAAAAATGTTTTGAGTGTCATTCAACAAGACAACGCCCGGCGCATATATCAAACCTCAATAAATAAAGAAAATACGGGATTAGTCCGCTCACCCTCGGCAGGTCCAGTGCAAGGGTCTTGTGCAATCCCGAATCTATGATACGGGGCCCCACTCTACTACATCTCAATTTTCATAAGGTAGTATTCAGATAACGGGGGTCACGAATCACTGCCCGGGGTCATCTAATCAGACTTGAAGGTTGAATCATACACTCTCATAATCGTCTTGCTTTCTTGTTCATACAAATGATTTTTGTGCGTGTGTGTGTTCAGCCAATGTAAACAGTCACAAAGTAGAAATATTTCTACATAGGTGTTTCCCAACAACATATTGAGTATAACACATAAACATCTTATGGAAAGTACAAAATATCTTTCCGTCCCTTTTCCAGGACCATTTTCAAATTGCCATTTTCTAATTCCCCAAGTCACTGATTACGTTGTACGCGGCCAAAAGTATGTCAAATTAGACGTGGATGAATGCGAAATGGGAAACTTCCAAATCATATTCCATAGTATTTTTAATAGGATCTACTAACGATATAATACTGCGTAATTTAAAATCGCTTTGGGGATCTGTTAATTAAATAAATTTAACAAAGTATTTAAAGATATAGTCAGGATAAAACATCAAATGATATTTTTTTAAATGACAGATAGCTCGATTAAATAAAATGTTTTTCCTTGACTTACGCCTCGAAATCTAAGCATCTTCTTCACTATACTTTCACGAATGAGATGATGACCAAAGATAAAGGAATATCTCCCACAAAAAAATATTCCAGTGAATCTAGAAGCAAATATTCAGTAAAATGCGTCCTTTTTTCACTTTTTTAAATGATGAACAAATACACACAATAGATAAAGATGTTTACAAACTTTACATTTTATTTAAATGTATTTATTCCGAGAAATAGGTACTGAGTCTTTCGTTCGCAATGTTTGGAAGTTGATGCAAACAGGGTCATAGGAGCACTATATGTACTGTGAATATAGCAGTGGTGTGCCGAGGGAAAGATAGCCCGACGGAGCCCATCCCTCTTCATGTTTACATCATTGCATAGAACCTCAATGAAAATGTATTTTAAAAAATTGAACAATCTGATATCAGATTCGTATTAAAGCCAGCATCATTATCATCATCATCATAATCCCCTTGACCTTTGTAATCGTAGTGGGAGTCCGAAAGCAGAAGCTACACTAACACTTTTCCACAACGATCTATCAACGGCAGCCATCAGCAATTCTGGTACAGTCATACCTGTCCGTTGTTTTGACATTGTCCAACCAGTATTTTACGTTGGCGTCCTCTCCTATGACCACCTTCAACGGTGCTTTGCATGATGGTCTTACACAGGCTGTCGTGCCTTTTAACGTGTCCAAACCACTCCATTTTTCTCCGTTTTCAGTGGCGAGAAGAGGTTCCTGGTGGTCCACAAAACTTTCAACCCTTTTCCGTACAAACTCATGTTTAGGTTTTATGTTCCCAGTAGAAGATGACAAAGAGTTTTTTTTTTTTTCATGCATTTGTTCTCAAACGCTTAGATCCTTCTCTCTGTTCCTGCCAATAGTGTCGACGTTTCACACCCATATATGAAAATGGAGACTACCAGCGATTTGTACAGTACATACTTCGTTTGAAAGTTGATATTAAAGATAGATGTTAAAAAGCGCTTTCGTCGAGCGTTGCTATTGGGTGTCTGTACACTGGTGATGTCATCAAGTTGCGTTCGAATCTAGTTAAAGTATATACTATATATAGATAGCTGCAACTCTATTGTATTGGACAATTACACGCACGCACGCACACACGCACACACACACAGTTTAAAATAAATTTTCGCCACAAATGTATTACTGAAAAATCTGGTGGTTGAAAATAATTGAACAACAGAACGCTATAGCTTGATATAGTAACAATGCCAGCGATGGGGGCTCATGCTTCTCCCCTTGATCTATGACACGGAGCCTTCACTCTACATGTCCAGTTCATAAAATTCAAGGAGGCATTTAACCCCTTGTATGCTCCCTATCGAAAATAATATATTATAAAAAAAAGTAAATAAATAAAAATCATGAACATTGTCGTGTCTATATCCAAAAGACGACAATCTGTCTTCTTCGGTGTATGTGATTTATTTAAAATTTAAACATCCAAAAACACCTGGATACATACAAATGTACGTATTCGGAGGTTTTAAGACTTACTCTCTTTTTCTATGTGCCATATCCCTTCCTTCATGGCTCTCCACAATTTCCTCTCCTTTGTAGTTCTTAGTAAATTTTGTTGTTTTTTTTTTTTGCTATCTCTCCTAATCCCTGTCCTGCCAACCATTTACAAAAGCTCCTTCTTCTTCTATGTCTCATGACCTTTCACGGCATGGAAGACCATGGCTCTCCACAATTTCCTCTCCTTTGTACCTCTTAGTAAAATTTGTCTTTTTGCCGTCTCTCCTAATCTCTGTTCTGCCAACCATTTACACAAGCTCATCAGATAGATTATACACTGTTTTCTTTTGTCACTCTTTCCTTGACGCTGCCTTGTGAGTGTTAAATTTTCTAAGCCCGCTTTTCTCATTATGTGCCCTCGAAATTTCGACTATCCCTTTCGAATGTTAAATAAGATTGTTCTTTGTGTTTCCATTTCACTTAAAACTTCGCTGTTCAGGCCATGTTATTCTCAGCATCCTTCTGTAGATTCAGATGTTTGTTGCTTCATCTGCAAGATTGTCCAGCATTCACTACAATATAAGAGGATTGATATTACATAACAGTTCGGTACTCTTTTCTTTCTTTGTTTCTAATGAAATTTTTCTGTTTCTTCGTTAATACTTTGCTTAGTTTCAAAACAATTATTTATGATTACCATCTGATAAAAAAGAAACAAGGAATGGCTGGAAACTAATTATAAGAAAAAAAGACAAAATTCCACAAACATGAATTATCGACAAGTGGATCTTCTGGGCCTGGCTCTTTTAATTTTCAGTTTGGTTACACTACAGGTTAACAACAAAAAACAAGACACATCTTAGCCCTAAGGTCGTTGATGTCAATAGTAAAAGTTACTCGAGGCCAAAAGTGATTTTTCCATGTTTTCTTTGACTTTGATCATTATCTTTAGTTTTCTTTAGGATCATCGTTCGACGTCCGAGAAAAGAAAAACAATTCTCTTAAACACACTTAAATGTTCACACATGCATAAAGTCCCGTAGAAAAGCCAGGCTTTATGCCAAACTGGCTAACATGCGTACATTGGATCACTTACAAACAAGATTCGTGTACTGTAGTAAGTGAAGCATACTTTTTCACGCAATATGGGTGCGAACACACGCCGGTTTTCTGAATACGTTGTAGCAGCTTCGGGACTGATCCATAGTTCCATCATTCTATGCTTATTACCAACAAACATACAAAAACAAAAGGTTATTCTTGTGATACGCAGCCATTGTAAAAGAGACATTTAAAAATCAAACACATCAAGTTTTAGTTTACCAAGTCAGTTTCATCATTACTTTGTTGATATTGAATGTGCATTGAGCATTGATTCGCTATTTTTTTCTTTTTCTTTTCATACATGGTTAAAACATGACTATTTAAAGAACTATAAAGTTATAGACTACAGTACACATACACACACGCAAAACAATTATTGGAATACATTGATTGCCACCTGTATTAACGATCTCCACACAAACACACGACAGTACACTTCAGCATCGAATTTTATTTTATTTACTTTATTTTTAAATTTTAGTTAGTCAAGTTGAACTCTCTCTCTCTCTCTCTCTCGGCTTAGACAATCATTGTTCTCCACAGCTTCCTGTACAAATAGAACTTACTTTTTTTAGTTTTTATGAAGCTTGCTAAAGCTAACTTGTTTAGTTTACACCGCTACAAGTGAATGTCACTAGTAAAGACATTCTCTTTTTAGTCTTATGGATTTAAAAAATACATACAATTTTTAGTTTTACTTTTATTCGCTTATCAACACGCGCAAACGAATAATAAAAAGTCGTAACTGTGTGTGTGTGTGTGTGTGTGTGCGTGTGTGTACTGTAAAAAGCTAACAAAAATGACATTCATCCATCACCGACAGCGAGAAACAAACAAAAAAAAACATTGTACAATAATACTAATTGGACAATGATTAGTCGCCTTAGTACTTACGCTAACATGCAAATAACACATGCACATAGGTATGAGCGTGCTCGCGCGCGCACACACACACACACACGCACGCACGCACGCACGCACACAGCATTTCGGCTCAACGCACTGAGGTATTTACTACACACCCGCAGATTTAACGCCGAACCTGAACACTTCCATCAGGCCTCCCTTTCCATCAACTTCCAATAACCCACAAAACAGCCAATCAGCAGAGATGTACAACACACACACACACACACACACACACACACACACTCTGTATAAAAACAACCTGTTTGGGAAGAAATAGATTTTTTCCTTTTTTTTCTTTCATTTCAGCCTGGGTTTTCATTTGCAGAGCAGTATATAGCTATAGTCGGCTCATCTACAATCTACCCACTCATCTCTCTCTCTCGCACGTACACACAGAGGCAGGAATAAGCTACTCTTTTCCTTCTTTTTCTCTCTCATTTTATTTTGTCCTATGTCCTTATTTCCACCAGTTTACGTTCTTTCTTCTTAGACATCTCTTTCTTTCTCTCAAACACATACCCTATTCATTTACACTTTTTACGTCTATTTCTCTTGCTTTCTCTCTTTCTTTCTTGTCAGTCTTTCTACAATTCCACATTGTTTCATCTCTTTTTATTTCTCTCTCTACCCCCATTCACTCTTCTTTTCTCTATATCTCTCCCTTTCTCTTTTTTGTTCAATACAAATTACCTCTCTTTCCTTTTAATCTCTTTGCTTTTCTTTTTCTTTCCTCTTTGTTTCTCCGCTAACTTTTTCAATATCTTTTCCTTCTATTTCTTTCCCCCAATTCATCATTTTCTTTAACTTTTTTCATCCATTTCGTCTTCTTTAGTTTTTTTACTTACTCTTCTTCTTACTCCCCTTTCTTTTTTTCTTTCATTTGTTTTCTACTTTTTCTTTGACCACTACATTTATTTTGTCATTCTTTCTTTCATTTTCTGTCCTAATTTTCATTTTTTCCTTCTTTCCTCGATGTTTTTCATTTCTCTTTCTCCTTCATTCTCGCATCACTATCTATTCTACTGGATTTTACACTTTTTTGATATTTTTTCTTTTTGCTCGCACCATTTGTCGTCATTAAAATAATTTTTAGATTATTGCTAAAGAAACTGAGAAGGTAGCCCCTTTCTTTCTGCAATCCAGAAATAAAGAAATAGTAATTCCTGCAAAAACGGTAAAAAGTCATTTTTAAAACAATAAAGATTTTAAATATTTTCCTTTATTTAAGACTAAAAAATTGAGTATCAGATCGGGAGTTTCATTGTGATTGAACAGAAAGCACATTGATATTTATATTTGAGTGAGTGTGAGAAAGAAAGCAAAAACTTAAAAAGATACTTCAACACGGAGTATTTAGTAGTTTGCGATATAATTTACGAATTGCATTTACTGCGTAAGATTATGTAGCGGCAATCCTCCAAGTAAGGAGGGCAGTCGGCTAAAAAAATGTTTCCCTTGAAATATTCATTTGAAATTTTTTCGTAAACTTGAATTATCAACGAAAGAGGCATCAGATGATGAACCGGCACATCAGACAAATTTTTTTTTGTTTTTTTTTAAGTTCAAATTTCTAAGTATGTATGTATTGTAAATGTTAGTTACGATTTATTAACTGACCGTTTTTTTGTCAAAATTCAGCCTTAGTGTCTTTAGGAAAAAAATCTGTTGAATTGTTTGAATATTTTTTTAGTGGGATTCTTGGTTGACTTATTTTTTTTTTTTTTTAGAGACCAAGCTGTTTGAATTGACCTCAACAAAATTCTTTCTACTTTTCAGTTTTACTTTTAATAGGCAGATACAATCTCTAGTTTAAATTATTGTTTGTTTGTTTGTTATTCACAAAAAAATAAAATCAAAATAAATAAAATATTCAAATCAATTGTCAACTTTTATTTACACTTTTAAGTTCCTCCTAAGAGTTCCTTGTCCACAACATAACACTTTTTTTCCTTTTTTTCTGGTGTATTTATTTTCAAAGTTTTATTAAAATAAAATGAATAGACATTTTTATCTTTTCTACACGCCCCCCCCCCTACTAATCGTCCATTCCTAGACGAGTCACTAAAAAGTCCCACTGATTGTTGTCAGTAAAAAAAATGACAACTATTTCAAATTTCCAGGAAGAAATAAAATGCAAAAATCCGACCACTTTTAGTTTTACTTTTTCGGTTTTACCCAACTCGTAAATTTAGTAACTTTTTTTTCCTTAACCTTTTCTGGCAATAAAAACTTATGAACTTTCTGGGAGAAATTTTGAAATGAACCCGGAACCGAAACCAAAAATAAACGACAGTGATCAGGTGCAGAAATTTACAACTCGATGAATCTTTTCTTTGTTTTTCTTTTTTTTTTTCTTCTTTCTTTTCGCCCGCTTCCCTGACGCCACACACACACACATCACAAGCAAGCGCGCACATGCGTATGTATTGACAGAGCATGCCTTAGTGTAGTGGCTAGCGTGAGTCACAGAGGCCCGCGAACAGTGGGTTCGTTATCCAGTGTGACTATTTCTTTCTTTCTTTCTCTTCAAATTTGACTGAGTGAAACAAAAATAGCTAGAAGTATGTATGAGAGATAGAGAGAGAAACTGTATGTGAAAAGAACTTTCTTTCCCTTTCATTGTCTCTCTCTCTCTCTCTCTCTCTCTCTCTCCCCTCCCCTTCTCTGGTAGTACAGCTCTTATTTTAATTAACGTTTGTTTCCCACATAGACCTAAGGTTTTTGTTTGTTAATTTTTTTTTTTTTATATAAATAAAGTTTTGCTTTTTAAATTTGAGTCAAAGCCGCTGCGAAAAAGAGAGAAATTGAGAGATTAAGTATTTTTAAGTAGTCTCTTTTTACGAATTCGTAAAAAACAGCAGTATTTATACTCCAAGTAAATATTTTGCTGTATTTTAAATTAAATGTAAATTTTACTTTAAATCAGGGTGTCATGCTTGTTTGTTTTTTGTTTTTTTTTTTTTTTTTTGTTTTGTTTTTCTGGTCTGGGAGAAAATGGGAGATGAAGCGGGTTGAATCTTTTTTTAATGATTCATTTTATTTTTAATGCGCCATAAAAAAAAAATAAATTGATCTCGGCATCTTATTTCTAAAAATAAAATGTATGTAAGGGAAAAAAGGAATATGACAAAAAATATCTGGTATTTTTTAAGTTTAGTTTTAACTAACACAAAAAAAGGGTACTGGACATTTAGTGAGAAGTACCAAATTAGCACCTTGTGATAAATATCCTCCAGTAAAAATTCATTTCATGAGACGGAATTAGTAACTTTAACACCACAGTAAGCGCCCAACTCATCAACTTACGAGGAAGTTAAATGCCCACCTCCCTAGGCTTCTTAATAATAATTAGCGGAAAATATGGACAAAGTAAAGAAATAACTTCGAGTGGGACCTAAATGTGCACATTAATATTGTTCCTTGAAAATGACTGAGTTTTTATTGCCACCTGCTGACTGCCGGGAAGGTAAGATCATTTATGGAATGGTGGTTTTTCCCAAAAAATCTATTCGTAACATGCCAGTGACAAAACATTTTGTCAAGATATGCAGCAACTGTTGCCTTGAAATGCGGGGTTATTAGCACGAAGTAAGCGAATGGCTTCAGCCGAAATTCGAACTCTGTTTTCCGATCTTGTTTTTGCCGGGTGATTTGTAACCCACCGTACATCGGATTTATCAGCATTTAGCATTTCCCCCCCCTCTCTCTCTCTCTCTCTCTCTCTCTCTCTCTCTCTCTCTTTCTCAAACACACACACACGTACGTACGTACGCGTACCACACTGTCATTCCCAGAAATTGACCGCGTGTTTTACTTCTTCAAATCGTGTCTACTGTTTTTACTTTTTTTTTTAAGCTTTATTTAATTTTTCAGGCCAACATACGAGACGAAATACTTTGGCCTGTTGCTTCTTCCGTAGACAAATCTACCATGTGCTTTGGTATATAAAGAATCTATGGAATGTTGTTGACAACATGCAAAAAAAAAGGAAAGGGGAAATTAAAGAATGAAAATGCTTTTTTCTTGCGGGGGCGAGGTGCTCAGCCAGTGCTCCTTCTTGTTAGTGTAATAATTTTTTTAGTACTTGAATTGCTACAATGTGCAACAGTTTTTACAATTCATTTTTTATACCATTTCGAGGTTCTGACAAATATGTTTCTAATTATGCATTTAGTGAATAAACAAACATAGTCGAATATGAGAGAGAGAAAGAAAAAGGGAAGCTGATGGACATGGAAAGAACGATCACGATGTTTCAATCAATAAATATCTGCACTTCATCAGATGGACTGAGACGTACAAATGCTCGATTAAAATCTTACCTACACACTTACCGTCTAAAGATGAATGTCAATGAAAAAACTGAAAATAAATTCCTACATCCAAGAATGTATGTTGCATATCCTTTTATTGTGTATGGTTAAAAAAAAATAATTTTATATGTTCGAGTCGGTGATAAACGAAGGAAAACATTATAATTTGAACACTCGGTTCGTTAATTTATTCGATTTCTAAAAAAAAAAAATGACTATGAAAAAGCAGGTGTAATTAAGAAGATGGACATCTGTATCGGTATGCATACATACATGTTACACAACACGTATTTGAAATTGTAGTATTTCAAAAATGTCAACAAAATCATGTCTTTCATACTGACAACACCCAGTTTTTGATAATGACTGAGTTGGCTGAGAGTACTTGAACAAAAGCAGAAAAAATGAACTTTGGAGAGTTTATCCACAATTTTGAGTGGGATGCACGAATTATTCAAAAATTAAAAAATACAATAAAATTAAACTAGTCGGTTAAGTTTAAAAACTTTAAAAAACTTTATATATATATATATATATATATATATATATAAAAAGTGAACATAGAAGTCAACACTTATAGGCGACAGTCTGTTTCATGCTAGATGTAATCGTCAGTGGCCTGATGATTGCATCTAGCATGAAACACTGTCACCTCTAAGTGTTGACTTCTATGTTCACTTTTATATTTACACATGCTCTATCTCTGATATTGAGCATTTTATCCCATAAATATAGCATATCTTAAGATTATATTTCTTCATATATTTATATATATATATATATATATATATATATATATATATATATATATATATATGTGTGTATGTGTATTTAGGCAGCATTTTTTTCATTGATGCATGTTTCATTAAATAATATGGACAAGTTTTTGTCTATTTATTTTAAGTAAATTCTTTTCCTATCGTCTGATAAGCTTAATAACATTGTCATTAAAAGAAGAAAGAAAATCACAATATTGATATATATATTTTTAATCCTATCTAAGCTTTCGGCTTACATAAGCCATTATCAAAGATAACAATTACATTACAATATATTAAACAATACACGGAGAAAACAATAATGATAGTCTGTTTTTGTTTACATGGAAGATTTCCAAGCAACAACAAACTCGTGCATATGAGACGGTGGAAACGAAAATCGCACCGCAGTTCATGACGTCACACATGACCACGCGAGAGTGAAAATCAGAAGCATTAAGTATTGTTTAATATATTGTAATATTATATATATATATATATATATATATATATATATATATGTCGTTACTCCTTTTGCTGGCTCTTGTAGGCCACCGAGGGATTAAAGGAAATTGGCCATTCCTAGTTTATTTGTTTAAAGGCATTTGCTTTATAGTATTTATGGCCATGACCTTTAATTTGCGTATTTTATTTATTATTCTATTTAAATATTTCACTTATTAATTTGTATATTTTCTTTGTTATAAATTTTGTTATATCTAATAAAGTCTATTAGATTTAGATGATGGAATTTTATTTAGTCTTTTCAATCGTGATGTGGTTGTAGGTAACGTAGCAGTATTTCGTTTACGTGTCTGTTACACGTGAGAGATTAGCTCTGATCTTTACTTAAGGTTTTTATGTTCGGGAAATGTGATTATTGTTATTTTCTCCTCTAGGCAAATGTTTTGTTGTTTGAAGACGTTGTTTCAAGCTAATGGTGTTTTTCATATTTTTCATGTTATTTTGAGTGTGTTTTTGATGTCCGCTTATGTTTTGATAGGGTTGTACTATTTCCATATTTTTGTTAAATGTTGTTTTGGATTAGTATCTTTTCTCATTAAGGATATTCTTTATATATATATATATATATATATATATATATTCTAGATATCCTGTAGAGTTTACTGTAGCTTGATATATTACGTTAGTTTGTAAGCAGTTACCAATTAGTGGACATTCATATTTTGTTCTGCAGTTACAGGTGATAGTTGTTGGTATTTTTGTTGTACTGGTGATTTTTTTCTGTTTTGCTTTTATAATTTCCACCATCCTTTTGGTGTAGTTATAGCTAAGTTTTAGACTATTTCTGTTAGGGAGTGTTTGCGGATGAGATTGATGAATTCTTTTTATATTTCATTTTTCCATATTTTTTTAATTATATGTTAGATTCAACCATATGATGTTTTTATTTCGGTTAGATTTTTTGTTTCGCCATTTGTAAATGTAAGTCTTGCCGAAAGTTCATTTAATGCAATTTTATACTCACTTTTAGCTTCATTGAATGTTGTTTTATTCACCAGTTATAGGATAATCTATTGTTCATAGAGAGTGGAGTTTGATTGATTGTGCTGAGTGGATAGTTGGAGAAAAGGTGTATGTAAAGTGGGTTGTCATTTGCTTTCCTGAACGGATGATATATATATATTTTTGCAGGAGTTTAAATTTTCATCAATTATTTCTATCTCTTTTAGGTTTTAATATCAGTTTAGAATCTTATTTCTTATTTATTTCTATCTTAATCAGTTTTTTCTGTTGCAGTCATATGACACACACACACACACACACACGTATACACATATTCAAACATATATTGTTAAATATAACAGACAACGAATGTCTATTATGTTTTATCATGAGCCGTTCTAAACTTCGTATATTTGCTTTAATTTCGCGAGAAAATAAAGACAAAAATTGTCCAACATTTGGATAACGGTCGTGGAATAGCAGACTCAAGTCGTAAATTCATGAGGAAGTTCTATGACGTCATACCACGCGAAAGAACGAAATATTAACAATGGAACCATATGTCTAGATGCAATGTAATATGTTGTGACTAGTTTGAAATGTAATTTTGTTGAGTGTAGGTTACTTTGTTTTAATGTAGATGGCCTCCAGTTGCTGAAGGTTCTTTTTACTGGTGTATGTATGAGTATTGTTGTGTTATCAATTAATATCTGTCAAATATTACACACACACACACACACATATATATATATATATATATATATATATATATATAGGGGACACGAAAATTTAAATAACCAGCAAATTTTATTTACTCTTAGCTGAAGAAGCGCCTTACGACTTAATCACTTAAATGTTTACTTTGATGTTATTACTCGTAATACAAATATAATGGAAATACCATTTTTTAAGTCTTCGTTTTCCTGTGACCAAAAATAAGTCATGGTAAAAAAACAAAAACAAAAACAGTAAAAGTCATAACGAGATTAAAATTTTCAGATAGTTATCTGCTTTAAAATGTTAAAGAAAAATATAAAGATTCAATTTAGTGAATCTGATGAATACAAAGTAATGGTCAACCCCAGTATTACACATACAATGGAACCTCGGTTCACGAATTTAATTCGTTCCTGAAGCCCGTTCGTAACCCGAAATGTTCGTAAACCGAAACTATTTTTTCAATAAGAATCAATGTAAAATGGATTAATCTGTTCCTAGTCCCAAGTTGATTGCTTATTTAAACTTTGACAACAGTACTTTGTGCACAAGTTTATACACAAAAAAACTAATGAAAATCATTAAATCTAAGAAAAAGAAACCAAATACTAAACAGATAAAAGATGAACACTTTAATTTTATTTTTACCGTACCTGTATGTAGGAGAGTTGATGGTGTAAGTGGAAGGGGAAAGAAAAAGATGTTATTGTTTGGAAAAAGGAAGAAAAGACATGATCGTCTCTTTGTTTATAAGAATAGTAGAGATTGTTGATTTTGCTATATAAAACTGAGCTGGAAGAGACAATATCATCAACAATTGTTTTTCTCTTAACTTTCCTTTTTCCTTTACCAATATCACTACTAGCTTTCTTTGGAGCCATGACTGCGGACTTATAAAGAGGAAAAAAGGCACAATACAACTGGAAAAGAAAAGCACAACACAACACACTAATGTATACAACACGGCAGTCAAGTCAGAAATGATTCCGTTCGGGTTAACTTGGTTCGGCTCGGTTCGTCAATGTTGTTCGAGAACTGAAATTTTGTTTGATAACCGAGGTATTTTCATCTCGAATATTCTGTTCGAAGACCGATTTGATCGATATATGAGACGTTCGAGAACCGAGGTTGCACTGTACATTCTAAATTGTACCCTTTCTCTAAAAACTTTAACATTCTGGAAATTTTCAAGTCCTAACATGCCAAAAGCACACTCCGGGTTTTCGTTAGTAACTACAAAAATATTTGGTGGTTAAAGACGGTTCCCGAGTCATGCAATGCTAGAAAGACAAAGAGATAAAAAAGTGAAATTTGCTGAATAAAAGTCAAACATGAATACAGATATGTCGTTAATTTTACTGTTTAAGAAAATAAAACATTATATGTATCTAATTAAAATATCTGACTTGTTCATAAAAAACAAGAATTTGCATAGACATGAAGACGAAAGAACTCTTTTTGGTAGCTAGCATTAACTCTCATGTTCACGAGAAACATTTTCTCCAGGAAATG